GCACCACTTTGACAAGTTTAGTTTGGGATTATTCCTCTGCTGAGAAGCAGGCTGGGAGGAGACAAAGCTGGATAAAGCTGGGCCTTAACCACTCTGTCTTCCTCCTGTGCTGGGTCAGAGCTTTTCCAGAGAAGCCACTGCCAGGGCTCCACTCCCACCTCTGCAGAGCCTGGTCTGCCCTCAGAGCCTGGCAGGTCACTTCCTGTGAGGACTGCTGGGAGCCAGCTGTCCACTCAGTCCCACCGAGGTGGAGGCTTCAATCCAGTTATTGTTAAACTTGCACTCATTTCTTTCCAACACCTTCTCTGTTGCCTCTTTTCTTCCCTCCTTCTTGTCCCACAGTAATTTTGAGGTGTAGGACCTTTGGTTGGTGCTGCCTGCACACCCACCCAGAGTGTTGGCCACTGAGGAGGTCAGCCCCGCATGGCAGCTGGACATAGTACCCCCACCATCAGGAGGGTCATATGGGGCAGCTTCACCAGCTTCCTGGAGACCACCCACATGCCCTCCGCAAAGGAAGGGAGGCTCCACAACCATGGTCACCCTGCCTGTGGCCTCATTAAGGTGCAAAACAGTCAGATAGTAGGGGTCTTTTTAATTATCTTAAATGTGAAGTGTCAGATGAGATAGTAAGCAAGGAATTGTTGTTGTTGTTATTGTTATGTACCTTGGAGTTGGTTCAGACTCATAGCGACCCTGTACAGGGCCAACGCTGTAAATCTTTACAGGAGCAGAAAGCTTCATCTTTCTCCTGCAGAACAACTGGTAGTTTCGAACTGCTGACACTGAGGTTAGCAGCTCGATTCTCGTAACCACTACGCTACCAGAGTTCCTTAAGTTAGGAATAGTTGTATGTATACAAAGGGGCTTCAAAAAGTTTGTGGGGAAATGGAATTAAAAGACAATGGGATTTACCTTTACTGAATTGATGTCATTTCAAAACATTAAATTCATTTTAAAGTAAAAAAAAAAAGATGTATCACCATTGAGAGTAAAAAGATTTATACTACAAGATGTAGAACACAATGAAAAGAAGGAGGCCAAACTCCTGTCTAAAGGAACATATTCCACACCATTCCGTCACTGTTATGGTTGTGAAGAGCTGTCAAGTCAGTGTCCACTCATAGCAACCGACCTTGCGTGCGGTGCAGTGCCTTCTGCTCCAGGCTGCAAAGATCAACTCAAATGAGAAAGTGTCCTCTGCCTCAAAGTCGTGGGCAGCCCGTTCAGAATGTGAGGAAAAGCTGAGTTAGAGGCAGGTGGAAGATCCTATGGGAGTCCTGGTGTGGCGCTGTGGATTAATGCGCTGCACTGCAAAATCATATGAGCTTCAAGGTTGGTGGCTGAAGCTTACCCGCCACTCCTTGGAAACCCTATACGGGATATCTATGGGTTGGAACTGATTTGACAGCACTTACCAACAACAACCTGTAGCGAAGGCATCGATACAGTTCTGGAGAAGATAGGACTATGTTTTCTGGGAATGTCTCTGAGACAATTAGATATATGCTTGCAAAATGATCGATTTAGACTCTTACTTACCAATACAAAAGCAAGTTAAAATGGACAATAGACCTAAATTTAAATGCAAAATCTATAAAACTCTTAGAAGAAAACGCAGGAGCAAATCTCTGTAACTTGATTGGGGAAAGACTTCTTGGAGACGACACCAAAAGTGCAAATAATAGAAGAAAAAAATGAGCTTTACCAAAATCAGAAACTTTTGCTCTTCAAAAGATACCAACTGACAATCTGACAGAAAGGGAGAAAATATTTGTGAAGTACATATCTGATCAAGAATCATGTTCACAAGATATAAAGAATTTTAATAAATCATTAAGAAGACTATTGATCCAATTTTAAATTGACTGTAAGATTTAAATAAATATTTTACCAAAGAAGATACCTAAATTGCCAATAAGCACATACAGTAATACAAAACATCATTTCTTTGTTGTTGTTGTTAAATGTCATAAAGTCACTCATGGTGATCCTTATTAGGGCTTGTTGTTGTTGTTGTTAAGTACCGTGGAGTCAATTCCGACTCATAACATGGTTTCCGAGGCTGCAAATCTTTACAGGAGCAGAACGCCTCATCTTTGTTCTGCGGAGCAGCTGGTAGTTTCGAACTGCCAACCTTGAGGTTAGCAGTCCAATTCGTAACCACTACGCTACCAGGAGCTCTGGTAGCGTAGTAGTTACGAATCGGTCTGCAAACCTTAAGGTCAGCAGTTTGAAAGTACCAGCTGTTCCGCGGGAGAAAGATGAGGCTTTCTGCTCCCGTAAAGATTTACAGCCTCGGAAACCCTGTACAGGGTCATTATGAGTCGGAACCGACTCCATAGCACATAACAACAACAACAACAACAATGCTACCAGAGCTCCAAGGCTATAAACCTTTTCCGTAGCAGAAAGAGCCATCTTTCTCCCAAGGAGTGGCTGGTGGGCTTGAACCATCATGGTTCATAGTCCAGTGCTAGATATTAGGAAAATTAAAATGGAACCTACAATGTGATATTACTTTACACCTATTAAAAAAAAAAAACAGACAAACAAGAACAAGTAAGAATGCGGAGAAATTAGAATGATCTTCCATTTCTGATGTGGATGTAAAACAATGTAGTCATTTTTAGAAAAGAGTCTGGCAAAAATTTTACAAAGTTAAACATAAATATACCACATTGTTGTTGTTAAGTACTAACAAGTCAGTTTTGATCCACAGTGACCCTATATAAGATATCTGAGGAGCAGCTGGTGAGTTAGAACTGTTGATGCAGACCTTGCAGTTAGCAGTTCAATGCTTATTCTACAATGCCACCGCAGGACTCCAAATATACTATACAACTCAGCAATTCCACTTGCATGCATCTACCAAGGGTAATGAAAACATAGGACCACACAGAGACTTAGCAAATTCTCATAGTAGCATTATTCATAATAGCCCAAACTGAAAACAATCCAAGTTGTTAAGATATCTGTATGTGTTAATATACATATGTTCATATGGGCTCATAGACATACATATTTATATGCATACACATTCTAATAGATATTTATATGTCAGCATTAGACTGTGAAACACAAGTTGATGGTTCAAATCCAGCAGATGATCCTTGGAAACCTATAGAGGGTCGTTATGAGTCAGAACTGACTCAATGGTGCTTACCAACAACAATGCTACCATGGAATTATAATTATGACATAGGGTACAATATGTCCTGGTGTGGCACTGTAGGATCAGCATAGCTAACTGCAAGGTCGGTGTTTCAAATCTACCAGTCATTCCTAGGAAACCCTAAATACAGTCACTATAGTCAGAACCAGCTCTACAGCACTTAACAACAACAACAAGAATATGTGAAGATATGTGTTATATATACATTTATTACATATAACATGTTGTTGTTGATAAGTAGCATCGAGTCAGTTTCAACTCATAGTGACCCTGTATGGGGTTCCCAAGGAGCAATTGGTGAGTTTGAACTGCCGACCCTGTGATTTGCAGTCCATTGGTTATCCTATAGTGCCACACCAGGAATCCATATAACATATGGGAGGGCTTGGAAAAGTTCTTGGAAAAAATGGAATGAAAAGATTATGGAATTTTCCATAAGCTTTTGGAAGCTCCCTTATATATATACACCCTATTCTCACTTATCTATTATCTCATTAACTGGCATTTTGTATTTATGGTAATAGTGAAAAATCTATCCAACTAGTTTGCTCATTAATGACACCCATCTGGCAGTAACGAATGCTGCTGTGTGAGCTAAGAGCAATGCTGACATTGATGGCTATGGTTATGTGTCAACTTGACTGGGACCCTGGTTCTCAGCAGTTTGCCAGTTATGTAATGATGTGATTTGGCAGTTATATAACAATGGAGCCATCCTCTGTTTCGTGGTCTGACGTGGTCATCCTCCAAATGCAGCCTCATCTTTGGAACCTAACCATGTCAATAATTTAGAAGAGGAAAAATATATATGGGCTTCAAAAAGTTCATGAAAATTTTGAATTAAAAAAGAATGGAATTTTCCCACAAACTTCACTTTTTGATATATATATTATTATCATCACTGCTTCAATTTTTAATCAAGATACAAGGCTGGGTTCAAACTCCACCTCTCCCATTTTCTCACTTTTTAGCTCTGTGACCCTAGGCTAGTTACCTAAACTTTCTGAGTCTGAACTAGTAAAATACGAGTAATAATACACACTTTAAAGACTGTAGGACTAAATGAGATACAACATGAAAACTGCTTAGCACTGGGCTGCCACAGTACCCCTCCTCAGTAAACAAACAGTACTCAGTGTTATCTGACTTTTTTGCATTTTATTCACAAATCTAGCTTTTTACTAGATTTTTCCTTCCACCCATATCAGGTGGAAGGAAACCATTTCATACAGTGGGAAAAGCTGGTTCTGCTCTTCTAGTTACTGGACCTTGAGTTTTTCACTTAAGGTTTTGAGCCTCCATTGCTAAAAGTCTATAAAATGAGGATAAACATTATTCATCTCACACAACTATTGTTATGATTAAGAAAATTCTATAAAAAGTGCTTTGCAAATTACAAAGTACAATAAAAATATAAAGCACTAGGCTCTTGTGGTCGTGTGTCCTCCCTGTACCACCCACATTGTGTTTGGAGAAGAACCCGAATGTCTACCCCTGGAGTGATGTGGAGTCATTTCTCAGCTCCTGAGACTGCGATGAAAGGATCTCTTTATGGCCGTGGTGGTGTGGTGGTGGCAAGTTCTTTTCAAAATGCATTCTATCCCCCTGTTTGAAGACATAGTCAGGGGAACCTTGCTGTTCCATCTCGGCACCACTCCCAGGCTGTTCCTGAGCTATCAGCCTCAGCTAAATATGGCCCTGGCCAGCATGTCAACAATCCCCACTAGTTCTGAGACCTCCAACCACCACTGATGTGACATTGTTTGTGTTCAAATATCTGGCTGACGTCTGATGCTTAAAACAGCCTATGCCTTCACCCTTGTCCGCATCGTCACAGCCCCGTATCACCACTCTTAAAAGGTTATCTCAACCACTCCTAGCACCAGTTGCTGGCCAGCCTGCCCACTCACCTCCCTGCCGGCTTCTGGCTGCCTTGAATGCCTGCTTCTTCAAGCTCCTTGTGGGTCTGACAAAGCAGGGACCATGTCTACCTTTGGCTACAGACGAGGACTTAGCAAATATGAGTCCATTGATGAGGATGAACTACTTGCCTCTCTGTCAGCCGAAGAGCTGAAGGAGCTCGAGAGGGAGTTGGAAGACATTGAACCAGATCACAGACTACCAGTGGGGTTAAGACAAAAGAGTCTGACAGAGAAAACTTCCACAGGCACGTTCAGCAGAGAGTCGCTCATGGCCTACTGGGAAAAGGAATCCCAAAAAATCCTGGAGAAGGAGAGGCTGGCCGAGTGTGGAAAGGTAGGCTCTTGGGCTTTTTCCTTGGCTACTCCCACCATCCACCCCAAACTCAACACCTCTGTTTTCTCTAACTCTTCAGTCCTCATTACTTTTCCTTTCTAGAACACTTGCTACTGAAAAATTTATCAGAATAGGATACTCAGGTAACTTCTGTGGCCACATAATAGATCACATTGTGTAAAAATCTTAGCTGGAGTTTTCTGACTAAAAGCAGGGAACATTCCAGGGGAAAATAACTCACAATCAAGGTACAAGTTTTGATATTTTGCTAGATATAAGTCTAATTTGAGCTATAGGTTATAACTCAAATTAGATATAAGTCTAATGATGTGACATATAATGTCTGTTTCTGATGTGGTTTCTCTTTTATTTTTTCCTATAAAGACAAACTTGGAAACTGAGGCTGTTTTGATTGTAATGGGGACTACAGTAAAAATAACTCTTCTTTTTCTCCAACACCAAGAAGTGTGGGGTGGTGAAAAGAACATGGGACTGAGGGTCAGGCGGTCTTTATTTCTAGCCCCCACTCTGCCATTAAATTGTTCAGCCTTGGATAGATAATCACATCTGCAGGATTCTGTTTCCAGTCTGTCTTTATTCACAAATATATTTTTTACTAATACCTACATTGGGGAGAAGAAAACTATTTTGTGCATCTGTTCATGGAGGGAGTTAATCCTGTGTTGCATTTGTAAATCAAGAACTCCTTTTTTTAAATTTTGATCAAAGTTATGGGTCCTCGCCTCAAGAAAGTGTGCATACGGGAACATACACACACCTCTCCCTAGAATTTCAGGATGATAACACATGTCCTGAAACCCATCTGAGGGCTCAGGTTAAGCATAAGTAGTCCCTCCGATTCTACTTTATGGTGGTGATTCTGAAGCCAGGCAATGTGCTTTTATGAGAGTTCAGGTTTACTAAGGTGTCATTCACTGCCTACCAAATGTTACTATGAATTTGCCAAATGAGTCATCGTTTAAAAACTGTGTTCTGTGCGAATAATAATGACAGTAAGATTGGTAATGCAAGAGAGAAACTCCTGAATTCGTAGACGATCCTAAGTTTAGAACAACAGTTTAAAACCTCTTTACTTCAATGGAATCCTCTAAAACCAAAATGGCCTGAAGCCAATGGCAGCCCTTCCATGGTACTAATCCAGACGCTGTTAGATGATCTTGGTGATAGGGCGTGTGGTCCACATTTGCAGCAAGATATGTGTGAGCTTTGTGCATGTCAATCACCGCAGGAAGGGCCACTGGGATGAGGCCAAGGTCTGCCAAGGCCACAGAGGCGGCTTGTATTGGGGAGGACCTGGAGGGGAGGTGTGAAGGAAGGATGTGTATGATAGGACCAGAATTTAGACCAGTCGGTTCCTCCACAATCACATTTTTCAGGGGTCTTTTTTTTTTTTTTTTTTACTGGATTTGGGGATAAATGTCAAAATTGATGCTATGTAGAAAATACGACTTAAAAAAAGTTACTAAAGAATGTCCTTAATAATAAGAACAAAATGGTCTCTGAATACCACAGCCACTGAAACCATCACCCAACAAAAGCATTTTAATGCCACTATGTCATACAGGCAGGGATGTTGGAACCCACCTGACACCTGTCAAAGCCTCCACTGAGCCATGCCCTGGCTTATCTGCTCAATTAGAGAGATGCCCGAGTTGATGAACTGTGATTCCTTTCTCAGCTAGTTAACTTTTTCCCACCACACTTCCCTATTGGTCAGCTGTCTGTAGTCCTGAGGAGCGCTGAAGAGACGCTTGCTAGTGAAGGGTGTAAATCCATTCCCACCACAGGGCAAACACTCAAAGCAGCTAGTTGAGCTGGTTGATTAAGCATGATGAACATCCCAGAGTGGACCAGGGGACGGAGGTGTTTGCTATCAGGCTACCAGCTCTGGGTTTCTTGTTGTTAGTTGCTGTTGAGTCCATTCAAACTCAGTGTCCCCATGTGTGCAAAGCAGCACTGCTTCATAGGGTTTCCAAGGCTGGGACCTTTCCCAAGCAGATTTCTAAGCCTGTCTTCCAAGGTGCTTCTGGATGCATTCTGTTTGCTGCCAACCTTGTAGCTAGTAGTTGAGAGCTTAACCAATGTCGCCACCTATTGGTTCTGTGAAGACTTACGAAATTCATGTTTAATGGCCTTCTGCCCACCTGGGTTCACAGAAACATAGGCGACATTAGCACTTCAAAGGGCAGTAGGGAAGCAAAGGTCTAGCTTCCCTAGTTTGAGTACCCTCTGGACACTGTTACAGATACCAGATGAATTCACTCAATTTCTTGTTTAAGTCTTACCTTGCTGCAGATCAGATACTGAGACTGGGAGAAGCTTAGAAATATATTTAAGGTTAACAGCTTGTAAGTGAAGCTGAAACTCAAACCAAGTTCTGTTGGCACAAAGACCCTGTTCTGAAAATGTCTGCTCCTGACCAGGTGCCTCAACAGCACAGCACACCACCACCAATGGCCCAGACCTACTGAATAAGGAATTCTGGGGGTGGGGCCCTCCAGGTAATTGTGATTCAGGCTGAAGTTAGTCCCTGGGTGGTGCAAAGAGTTATCCAACTTGGCTGTTGACATAAAGGTTCAAGGTTTAAGATTACCCGGAGGCTCCTCAGAAAACAAGCCTGCTGCTCCGCTCCTGAAAATCAGTCACTGAAAACCGAATGGAGCACAGTTCTCCTCTGACTCACATGAGTCACAGGCAACTGGTAAAGAAAAAAATGCCTGAGAACCGCTGAACTGCATCGTAGTTGCTTCGGATTCTAGAGAGGTTTCATGATTTGCTTAAATTCCATCAACTCTTTATGGGAAGAATCAGAACCAGAAGAGAAAACCCATCATGTAATGACACCAGGGAGGTGATCAGGAGAAATGGCTGGCTACCTTCTCCTTGTTGCCTTGTTAATTCCTAGTTTCCCCTGTCCAGTTCCTTGTCTCTCATCCTCATTCTTACAAGTATCAAACTGACTCCAGAGCAGTGGCTGATGGGTAAAAAGGCATCACCTCATCAGTTCCAGCACCAGGAAAATGTACAAAGTAGACCACACTTGAAGTTTACATCCTCCTACCTGGTGTGGTACTGTAGGATAAGCGCTTGACCACAAAGTCAGTTTGAACCAAAAGGTCGGTGGTTCAAACTCACCAGCTGCTCCTTGGAAACCCTATACAGGGTTACTATGACTCAGAGTTGACTTCTAGTGTCCTTTGTCCAGATGTCCCCCAGGAAGGGTGACCAACCACCTCAGACTGTATAGGACTGTCTTAGGGTCTAGAATTATAAAAGCCCTGGTTATGGAAGACCTCTCAGTCTCAGGCAAACTGAGATTGTTGATCACCTTTTGTTCATCCAACCCAATCAGCCTTCTCTCTTTTGCCTTGTCCTGTCTCTGAACTTCTCTTGTTGTTGTTACTGTTGCTAAGTGTCATCAAGGCAACTGCAACTCATAATGGCCTGGTAGAGGGTTTCCTACCATTTCTCCTGACTTGCGATCAGCAGTCCAGTGCTTATTCTACAAAACCACACCAGAACTCCTGATCTGCTGTTAAGACAGATGCATTTAGAGCCATTCAATAAACAGATATTGATTGAGCTCTTAGTATGTGGTAAGCACTGTGCTAAGTGAGTAAAACTGGTCCCTGTCATCACCCAGGTAACAGTTTATTGAGAAAATGACCAGCTTCTTAACTAGGCAAAGTGAAATACCATGGGAACCCACTGCAAGGATAATGGGAGTGAGGCGGTGTGGAAGAAGGTCTTTTATAAGAAGTGCCATTTATATGTTACATGCTAATTTATGAGGCTGGACAAGAGTATCAGATGTAATCTTTGCAAGTCCATCTTTGTGTGTGTGTGTATGATAAATAGATATGGAACAAAGTATCTGATATTTCAACATTCTTCACATGAACAAGTGGCATTGTGTTCACCATGGAGAGCAACATCCATTTAGAAAAGAAAATATCCTCCAGACAGAGCCTAAAGTTCTTTAAAGAACCAGAGGGGCTAGCAATAGAATGGTTACATAAAAGGTCATCTACTTTGGATTTGAGGCAAGCTCTGTTCCTCCAAATACTGAAACAGCTAAACACACACATAAGGCTGAGATAGGCAAGAATTATAAGTATATATACAAAATCCAAACTGCATTGAAGTAATTTACAAACAACAACAATAGCAAGGCTCCAGAATTGTCAGAATTCAACCACCTGAGATGCTTCAACAAACAGTGCAATGTGCTGGAAGTGTTCACTAGTCTATGCCAAGAACTTTGGACGACAACTACCCAGCCAACGGACTCAAAGATACCCATATTTTTGCCCATTCCAAAGAAAGGCTGTCCAACCGAATTCGGAAATTACCAAACAGTATCACCAATATGATGTTATAAAATTTTACTGAATATGATTCAAAAAATGGTTGCAGTAGTACATCAACAGGAATTGCCAGGAATTCCCTAACTAGAAAAACAGCACACAATTTGCACAAAAACTGTGCACAGAAAAAAAACCCTCTCTTATAAAAGCATACAAGAAAAATTTGCACATGGAAAAATGTCCACACAGAAAAATACAAACATAGAAAATTTTCATGTAAAAGGTTGGGTTAGGGTTTGGGTTGGGGTTAGGGTTAGTTTCTGGTTATGGTTTGGGCTTGGGTTAGAATTTATTATTTTGTAATGTTGTGAATATGAGAATTTTTCTATGTGCATAATTTTCTGCATGGGCATTTTTCCATGTGGGTTTGTTTTTTTTTTAATGTGTGTGTGTGTTGTTTGTTTTTTTTCATGCAACCAAGGAATTCAAAACAGATTCAGAAGAGAATGTAGAATGAGAGATATTATTGCTGATGTCAGTTGGATCTTGTCTAAAAGCAGAGACTATCAGAAAGATGTTTAGTTGTATTTTATTGATTATGCAGAGACACTTGACTGTGCGGATCATAAAAAAGCTATGGGTAACGTTGTGAAGAATGGGCCTTTCAGAACACTTAATTGTGCTCCCAAGAAACCTGTACATAGTCCAGTAGGCAACTGTTCCAGCAGAACAAGGAGATACTGCATGTTTTAAAATCAGGAAAGGTAAAATCAAGGTTGTAACCTTTCACCATACCTATTCAATCTGATTTCTGAGCAAATAATCCGAGAAGACGCATTATATGAATAAGAACATGACTTCAGGATTTGAGGAAGACTCATTAACAACTTGAGATATGTAGACTGCACAATCTTGCTTGCTGAAGGCAAAGAGGACTTGAACTTACTGATGAAGAAGAGCGACTACAGCCTTCGGTATGAATTACACCTCAACATAAAGAAAACAAAAATCCTCACAACTGGACCAATAAATATGACAAATGGAGAAAAGATCGATGGTGTCAAGGATTTCATTTTACTTGGATCCCAAATCAAAGCAGTCATGGAAAGAGTAGTCAGGAAATCAAACAACATATTGCACTGGGCAAATCCGCTGCACAAAACCTCTTTAAAGTGTGGGAAAGTAAAGATGTCACTTTGAGGATTAAGATGATCTCATCCAGGCCATGATATTTTCAAACCCTTCATATGCATGCAAACGTTGGACAATGACTAAGGAAGACTGAAGAATGTAGCTGCCTTTAAATTATAGCATGAGTGAAAACTATTGAATGTACTGTAGGTGGCTAGAAGAACAAACCAATCTGTCTTGAAAGAAGTATAGCCAGAGTGCTCCTTAGAAGTAAAGACAATGAGACGTCATCTTAAGTACATTGGACATGTTATAAGGAGGGACCAGCCCCTGGAGAAGGACATCATGCTCAGTAAAGTAGAGGGTCTGTGAAAAAGAGGAGGACTCTGCACAAGATGGACTGACAATGTGGCCGCAACGATTATGAGTATGGTCAGGACCAGGCAGTGTGTCATTCTGTTGGACATAGGGCCACCTGTTATGAATCAGAACTAACTAGTCAGCACCTAACAACATACAAAGAAATTTGAAGTAAGGGCTGTTGTTGCTGTTGTTAAGTGCCACTAAGCTGAGTTGACTCACAGCAACCTTGTATAGGGTTTCCAAGGAGCAACTAGTGGGCTTGAACTGCCAACCTTGTGGTTTGCAGTTCAATACTGATCCTACAGTGCCATACCAGGAGTCCTAGAGTGGGAATATGAGTTAGAAAAGCCTAGTGTGCAATTGTTTACTTCCTCCAATTAAGCCATTTACTTGACTTACGGGTAGAGGAGGCTGTGGGTTAATGCACTGGACAGCAAGGCTGAAGGTTCAGGCTCACCAGCTGCTCCTTGGAAACCTGTACAAGGTCGTTATGCACTTAACTGACTTTACTGCACTTAACTAGAGTCACATTCTTTCCTTCTGTTTGGGGGTGTGATTTGCACTTTCTCTCTTTTCCTCTGTGATTCTTTCCTTGTCTGTGTCTGTCTTTGACTTTCTCTCTCACACACACACACCCACACACAAAGTATCCCTCCGCCTCCTGCTCCTAAAGAACTGAGTATAAATTAAGACCGGACAAGCCATCCTGGAAGTGGCTGACCCCTTCCCAGGCCATCACTTGGTGCCTGCCACTCCAAACAAGTGGATAGGTGGAGGCTATTTTGTGATAGCAACTGGACAAACAAACCTGGAGACCAATGTACTGTTTTCCAAAGCTTGTTCCACATGCCTCAGGCAGCACGAGTCTGGAGGTCAAGAAACCCTGCCAATGTAGAGAAAAAAATCAGTGCTCTGGGCACAGGGGACAGCCCAGGGCTTGGGAGAAGTTGAAAATACAGGTCTAAAAAGATACAGGAGGGCACAGTAGACTTGGTTAGCCATCCCCAGGGGATTATTTTTTTTTACCAGAAAAGATTCAACAAGAAGGGAAACACTTGAGCGTCTCTGTACAGAGTTTTGTAAACAGGAAAGACAAAGATACAATGAAACCGTGCTGCCTGAAAGTCTTTCATAATTGATCCGTGCTAAATAATTTAAGACCATCAGGCTAAAGTAACAACTTTACTACAGGATTTTCTACTGTTCTCTACACATTCCCCATGACAGCTAGAATCTAATAGGTGCCAAGTGTGATGATCTTTCCTACCCGGCCTTCTCAAATAAAAGTTTGTCTCATTGAACCCAGCTCTAGTTTAGGTTTCAAGCTGAGGTGCTGTAAAAGGTGAATGAATTGTTTTCTGTGTAGAACTGGTTTCCCATGTCCCGAGCAGCATTCCTGTTCTCTGGGTCACCCTCTCCTATCAGGGCTAAGCAGGACAACAGCTCTCAGGTGGGCTGGGGTCAGTGAGTCCCTGGCTGCTACCCAGAGACAGAGAAATTCTGGAGGAGCACAAGGCATCGCTGCCTCTGTGTGTGCTCGGGCCAACCAGACAGAATGCACCGGACTTCTCCCACATCTGCCCTGCAAGGCAAATTTGGGGAAGAATGTCTGAACATTATAAAACATAATTCATTAACATGCCAAATATTGTTGTTGTCATTTGTTTGGGATGGAGAAATAAGGACAAAGGGTCATGACAGAAGGAAGGGTTGTTGTTAGGTGCCATCGAGTCGGCTCTGACTCCTGCGATCCTCTGCACATGAGAATGAAACACCGCCTAGTCCAGCACCAGTGTCACAATCGTTGTCCTGCTTGAGCCCACTCCTGCTGCCACTGTGCCAGTCCATTTCTTTTTCGCTGACCCTCCACTTCACCAAACATGATGTCCTTCTCTGGGGATTGGTCCCTCCTGATAATCTGTCCAATGTATGAGACATGAAGTCTCTCCATCCAGGCATCTAAGGAGCACCCTTGGCTGTACTTCTTCCAACACAGATTTGTCTGTTCTTTAGCAGTCCATGGGACTTTCAATATTCTTCTCCAACACCATAACGCAAAGGCCTTATATAGTTGTTTCATTTGTTTGTTTGAAATGGAGAAATAAGCACTGAGGGGGATTACAGAAGGGAAGGGTGGATTTGCTAAATTGTAACTATACCAGGAATTAAATCATTCACAGTAGGTAGTTAGAGTCCTGGCATGGCGCTGTAGGATCAGCACTAGACTGATAACTGTAATGCCAGCAGTTCAAATCTACCAGCTACTCTTCGGAAATCCTTTACAGGGCCACTATGAGTTGGAACTGACACAATGGCACTTAATAGCAACAACAACAAAAAGAGGTAGTTAAAAGCCACACCAATTGTGATCGAATTGATTCCAACCATGGCAACTGCACACGTTTCAGGGTAGACCTGTGCTCCATAGGGTTGGCATGGCTGGGACCTTATTTGAAAGCAGATCACCAGAACTTTCTTCCAAGGTACCTCTTCCGAGCAGGCTGGAACCCATAACCTTTTGGATAGTACCATGTTCAACACCAGGTAGTCAGGACAATGAAAAATTTATCAAGGAGTTTTCCCAAAGCCAAAGTTCTACTGACTTTCTCAAATTGACAAAATTTGGCTATACTTTTAGTCCTTAGCGCAGTAGATTGAATTCTGGATAGTTATAAATTGAAGCTCTGGTGTGGCACTATAGGATAAGTTCTGGGCTGCTAACTATACAAGGTTAGTGATTCAAATTTAGCCAGTTGTGCCTCAGAAACCCTATACGGGGTCACTATGAGTCAGAACTAACTCAACGGCACTTAACAACAACAACATTCTTGAAAATATATTTGGTAGTTCAGTGGTCATATGCTGGGCTGCTAACCTAAAGGCTGGTGGTTTGAACCTACCAGCTGCCATTTTGGAGAAAGATGTAGTGGTCTGTTTCCATTACAGCCTTGGGAATCCTATGGGGCTATTCTATTCTGTCTTATACAGAATTAACTCCACAGTACCTATCAACAACAATAACAGTTTCTAAAACAAAAAGGTGAGCCGAGGAAGCGATTGAAGCATATACAACAATTAATTTTCCCCATGACACACTTTCCTACTGTGCACTACTTGTTTAAAAATTTAAATGTACTTAAAACTAAAAAAGCTAATGTTGTTTACCAAACTCTTTAGGTTGCAGACGAAGACAAAGAGGAGAGCGAGGAAGAACTCATCTTCACTGAAAGTAACAGTGAGGTTTCTGAGGAGGTGTATACAGAAGAGGAGGAGGAGTCCGAAGAGGAAGAGGAAGAAGAGGAGGAAGAAGAAGATAGTCATGAAGAGGAAAGCACCATCGAAAATGCAAAAGGTATCAATGGCACTGTAAATTATGATAGTGTGGATTCAGACAACTCTAAGCCAAAGACATTTAAAAGTCAAATGGAAAACATAAACTTGACCAATGGCCAAAGTAGAAGAAACACAGAGTCTCCTGCTGGAATTCATCCTTGTGGAAACCCTACGGTGATCGAGGATGCTTTGGAAAAGATTAAAAATAACGACCCTGACACCGTAGAAGTCAACTTGAACAACATAGAGAACATCACAACGCAGACTCTCACCCGCTTTGCTGAAGCCCTCAAGAACAACACGGTGGTGAAGACCTTCAGTCTGGCCAACACACACGCTGATGACAGCGCCGCTGTGGCCATTGCGGAAATGCTCAAAGTCAACGAGAACATCACCAGCATCAACGTGGAGTCCAACTTTATCACGGGGAAGGGGATCCTGGCCATGATGAGGGCTCTGCAGCACAACACGGTGCTCACGGAGCTGCGTTTCCACAACCAGAGGCATATCATGGGCAGCCAGGTGGAGATGGAGATCGTAAAGCTGCTGAAGGAAAACACCACACTGCTGCGGCTGGGGTACCATTTTGAGCTCCCAGGACCAAGGATGAGCATGACGAGCATTTTGACGAGGAATATGGATAAACAGAGGCAAAAGCGTATGCAGGAGCAGAAACAGCAAGAGGGTTGTGATGGAGGCGCCAACCTCAGGACCAAAGTCTGGTCAAGAGGAACTCCTGGCTCTTCGCCTTATGCATCTCCCAGGCACTCTCCCTGGTCATCCCCCAAACTGTCCAAGAAAGTCCAAAGTGTGAGAAGCCGGCCTCTCTCGCCAGTGGCCACACCTCCTCCTCCTCCTCCTCCTCCTCCTCCCCCTCCTCCCCCACAAGCCCTGGCACCTCCTCCCCCTCCTCCTCCTCCTCCACTCCCAGAGACAAAGTTAATCACCAGAAACATCGCAGAAGTGATCAAGCAGCAGGAGAATGCTCAGCGGGCACTACAAAATGGACAGAAAAAGAAAAAAGGGAAAAAGGTGAAGAAACAGCCAAATATCCTAAAGGAAATAAAAAATTCCCTGAGGTCCGTGCAAGAGAAGAAAGTGGAAGACAGTTCCCGACCTTCCACTCCACAGAGATCCGTCCATGACAACCTCATGGAAGCTATCCGGGGAAGCAGCATCAGCCGGCTGAAGCGGGTGAGTACCCCGAGAGCAGACGCTCCGGCATAGACTTAGGAAACAATGTCCATGTCATGATGGTACCAACATACCCTCTCACCATTTTAATCAATATTTCCAATAGTTTATTATGTGCGGGTCAACATACCCAGTGCAAATGCTGGGAGCATGCACAGAAGTGGGACTTGTCCGTTTGAGAAGATGCATCTAGACCATCTTCTTAGCAAATTCGTCCTGGGAGAGCCATGCCCCCTTTTGGCAACACCACCATATAAAAAAATCCAATTTCCCTAATAAGAAAATCAGGCCTTATAACCTACATCCTCAAAAGATTCATCACCTGTCCAAAAGCTTAACCACAGAGTTGCAAATGATTCTAAAGCCTAATATGTAACATAAGAGTTAACTAAAGTGTTCTCAGATGATACGGCCAAAAGGACACTATTACTCTGAGTTGCCTTCAAGTTGATTCCCACTCAAGGATACCCTGCAGGTCCTTTTCATTTTGTCATTTGTGTTGTTTTACTGAAAGAAAATCCCCTATTTTTGTAGGTGGAGGTTCCAGAAGCACTTCGATAAAAACACGATCTTTAGAAGAGGATACAGAATTGTTCTGTGGTATCAAAGTAAAATGCATTGTGAGATGTTTCTAAAATACCTCCTCCAATTTGAAATGGCCTCTGACTTTAAAAAGTAGCCTCACCTATTAGTCCCAGAGAGAATTTAAAGAAAGAAATAGCATGTTTCTTTTGTAAATATGAAAATAAACTTCTTTTTTATGTCATGAGATTTGTATTGGCAAGAAGTAGTTTATTCAAAGATTTTCTTCATATCTCTGGATGCATTGGTAACTCTGAACTGTAATGAGATAACTAGCTGTGCTGTTGTGTTTGCAATCCCAATACATTTGGATTCAATCCCCACCCCCTTTTTTTTAAAAATCAAACTAATATTTTTCTGTGAGTTGATGCTCACATCTGTCAGGTGTGTATTTAACATTGCTGAATATTAAAAGATTACATTCTCACCCAAAAAGGGCTTGGGTTCTTAGCACTGTCCTTTCTTTGCTTCCTTATGTCCAAGAAAATCTGATCAGATCTCTTTCTAAATTTTAAAAATCTGGAACGTTTCAAAGGCTCTTTTGTAGTGAGATAAAAGGATGGAAAAGAGCTCCAGTTGTACCTGCTGCTACCATGCTGCTACAATCCTGGATGCATTGATATTAGACCAGGACACCAGCTGACACTCCTAAATTCACGTAAGTCTGATAGGTACCCAGAAGTCAACTTAATTATTTATTTGGAAAGTCCATATTTTATGGAACGGGGAAAGAATGTTAAAACTAGGAGGTTTCTTGGTGGAAGGAAGTAAATACCAGCTAACGGCATGCTAGAAGATAAAAAAGCACACCACCCCCCCAACACACACACAAACAACAAACACCCAGTTACCATCAAGTAAATTCAAATGTGTGGAGACCCTGGACTGTGAACCAATAGGTCAGGAGTTCAAAGTCACCAGCTGCTCCTCAGAAACACTATACAGGATCACTATTAGATTGACTCAAATTCAGCTCGATGGCACTTAACAACAACCACATATGCATTGGGGTTTTCGATAGGTGATTTTTTAGAAGTAGATCATCAGTGCTTTCTTCTAAAGTGGACCCGAACCTCCAACCTTTCAGTTAGCAGCCAAGCTCATGAAGTATTTCCACCAACCAGGGACTCCCTGAATTCAGAACTGCCTTTGACTAATGTCAAAGATTCCCCTTGAATTCTCCTAGGAAAAGCCTTAGTCCAGTGGGTCTCAGCCTCTTTGGACACTAGCTAGCATCCACAACATTCACCTGTGGACATACGCACGTACATACGCAAGACCCAGCCACCACTTCACTCTCTCCACCATCACTCAAGGGAGAAGGTCTAACTTCAATACGAGATTACCTTCCTCTGTTGACAAAGACTATCAATATCCGAGAAAGTCCTTTGTATTAACTATGATTAGTGACACATCTTTTGTGTCCTAAAACTCACGCCAGCGGTCGTGACGTCTTCTTCTGGGCCACCCATTCAATGTTCATGTGCTTCATGTACAGAGCTTTGGATTACTTACAATCAAAGTGCTTACGTTTCACTAGAACATCTCTCTAAAAAACCTCTCAGGTCAGCTTCTTTTAGTCTGTTTCTATTGTTCAACCGTTTTCTTATTTTATGCAGACAACTGATACACTCACCTGAAGAGGGTTCTAGAGGTCCAAGGCGGTGTGCAGGGAGGGAACTGACATGATTTGAACTCTTACAATATACCAGACACTTCAGCCAAGTTGTGTTATGTAAATTTCATAACAACTTTAAAAAGGTTCCATTCCCAATTTATAGATGAGGAAATGAAGACTTCAAGAAGTAAAAAGTTGCAGGTAAAGTGGGTATCTATGATTATAAGTCCATTCTCCTTCCAGAACACTGTCCCTCTTGGCCTCCAACCAAACTCAAACCTTCCAAAGTCTCCCCATTCTTAGAACAACTGTGATTTCAAATTCCTTCGTATGACTGCTTTATTTTTACTACCTCTTCACTTTGGTGTCTGTTACCATGCTCATTACTGCTGCTCAAAGAAACTCAAGGAAAACTCTAGGGTTTTAACAGCCTTTTTTAAGTGGTTGCACTCACGAATTTGTGTGCGTGTGCATGGTGTGGGGGGGCGGGTAGAACAGGGGCAAAAGACTTCCAACTCCATTATGATGAGGCAAGGGGGAGATGTCTGTCTATAAATGGGGTCATTAATAAAAACCATGCAGAAACTCAGGAAGGGCTTATGTGACAGTCCTCACACCCAGTGAAGGGTAAGACTGGCACCAACATTGCCAGGAGCAGAGAGGGCTGGGGAGATTGGTGGGAGCTCTCACCTGAAGTGAGTGATTGAAAGGCAAATAGTCCCGCCTCTGCATTTTAAAACAGGAGCACTGGTGGGTAGTAGTTTCAGCATTGGACTGTTAACCACAGGTTGGTAGTTTAAACCCACCAGCTGCTATAAAAGAAAAACATGAGGTTTCTGTTCCTGTAAAGATCATTATTGTGGTTAAGTGCCCTTGAGTTGGTTCCTACTCATAGTGTCCGTGTATAGGGTTTCAGAAGCTATACATCATGTTTCTTCCTTGAAGTGACCTTGTGGCTCACAGTCCTGTGTTTATCCTCAGAAGCCCTATGGGACCATTCTACGGTGTACTGTAGGGTCCCTGTGAGTCTGAATCAACTCAATGGGAGTGGTTTTTGTTATTTTGTTTTTTTGCATTTTAAAAGGTTGCCTCATGGGAAGAGAACTGCATGCACTCACTAGACACTTAAGACCATTCAAATGAAGACCCTCCCACTCAATTTACAAGAGAAAATATTATAAATCTCATGACATGGTCAGATACTAAGTGGGCATATTTGCCATCAAGAAAAAACATTTGTATTGAATGTAAAACTGATGATCTGACCTGTAAACTTTCACTCAATCCAGGTTTTTTAAACCTTAAAAAAAAAAAAAAAGCAAAGGGAAGAAAAAACATTTGCTCATGGTGAGCACATATTATGTTAGGATGTAGTATAATAAATATGCAAGGGATTAGATTGATTCTTATTTAGCTCAGGACAAGGATCGTAGTTCATCTTCCCCGAACACTCAGAGAGCTGGTATGAAAACTAATTAGTTCATCTGTTCATCTTTATAAAAGAGCTTTCAGATCACTGGGAGACATGCCATCCAAGCCCAGATGAAGTGTTTAGGCTATGATTTATAGGTTTCTACTAATCTCCTAAAGTACACCTCATCCTGGTTTGAAATGGGGCCAGGATGTTGAGTTTCACTCTGACATCCAGCCTGTAGCTATGGGGTATTTAATAACGGGTTGTCAGCAGAATTGTGATTTCATACATGCCCTGAGCTCGTTGCTAGAAGTGAGTGAAAGGAAGAAGTAATATGCTGAATTGCTTATACCAAGTAGCACCAAACCCTGGGCTAAGTCAATCTGTTCTTGGAAAGACCTCATTAATGACTTCACTTCATGACAAAGTTAAAACAGTCTTGTCTTTGTTTTTCCGAGACTCTGAAGGTGGAGTTTTATTCCCAGCAATCACCAAATACCATGGTATAAAAGACCAAGAATTGAAATAAGAGTTATAAACTCAGAAAGCAACTTTCCTGTACTTAACAACTTGTGTGAATATTTTCGGAGGGCCTAAATGGTCCAGCGAGTCTTCCAGGCACTGAGGGTACACAATGAAAAGAAGGAGGCAAAACTCAAAACTCCTGCCTAAAGGAACATATTCCATACCATTCTGTCACTGTTGTGGTTGTGAAGAGCTGTCAAGTCGGTGTCCACTGACCTTGCATGCGGTGCAGTGCCTTCTGCTACAGGCTGCAAAGACCAACTCAAATGAGAAAGTATCCTCTGCTTGAAAGTACTGGGAATCCTGAGAGGCAGTCCTTTCAGAATGTGAGGAAAGAGCTGCGTTAAAGGCAGGTAGAAGATCCTATGGGAGTCCTGGTGTGGTGCTGTGGGTTAATGCGCAGCACTGCAAAATCATTTGAACTGCAAGGTTGGTGGCTGAAGCGCACCAGACACTCCTTGGAAACCCTATGCAGGGCCATTATTGGTCGGATCCGACTCGAGGGCACTTAACAACAAATGCTCCTACAAGGTAGCATGATCATCTAAAGTTGGGGTTTGCAAATTTTCTCTGTAGGTCGTATCTTCCCAGACCTTTGGTTTAAAATTGACTCAGGGGTCAAGGAAATTAGCCCTTGTGGTATAGTGAGTTACAAGTTGGGCTGCTAACCATAAGATCACCAGTTTGAGTCCACCAGCTGCTCCCTGAGAAAAAGAGTAGGGTTTTTATCCAGAAAGATTTACAGCCATGGAAAGCCTAAACAGGGTCGCTATGAATTGGACCCAACACGATCACCACAACACACAATCACCACAACCAGCCAGGGGGAAAAGGTGACATGGGATCTGTATTTGTAAAGAATAGAGGAGTTGCCAGGCTGGAAAAAGACCTGAATGATGGGGGTGGTGATTGGAGAAGGACAGCTCAGCTTGATTGTATAGAAATTAGCTGAAAATCATAGGGTTTAATCTAATTTTGTAAAAACAATAATTTGTAGCACTATTTTATAGTATTCCTGTATGGTGTTTTCTTAATACAAAAATGGCATAAGATCATGAAGGAAAAAAACCCCAGAACATACAGATAAGCAAAAGAGCATAAAGAATCCCCATAATTCCACCCATATAGAATAATTAATGATAACCCTTGAATGCATATCCTTTTTGTTGCTGTTGTTAGGTGTCATTGAGTCGGTGCTGACTCATTGTGACCTTATGCACAACAGAATGAAACACTGTCTGGTCCTGGGCCAACCTCACAATTGTTGCCAAGCTTAGCCCATTGATGCTGCCACTGTGCCAATCCATCTCTCTGGGGGTCTTCCTCTTTTTCTCTGGCCTTCCACTTGACCAAACATATCCTTTTAGATCCTTCTTAATGAATAGTTTAACACACATATAACTATTATTTTTTACAAAGAAGGGAAGACAGCATATATGCCATTATACACCATACTTTAAGTAATTTCAACAAGTATTGGCTATTTAGATCATTTTTATGTTAGTTCCAACTAAATTCTGCAGTATTTGGTTATTCTTAGTTTTAGCTATTTCACCAAGTCCAGAAAAGAAATGGTTGGCTGACAACCAGAGTTTAAAAACTGTCTCCCAGATAGACAAGCCTATGAGGCATCACTGTGGTACACCAAAACTGGAAACAGGGTTTGAACTCAACTATCACGTTGACCAATGGTTTGTCTATCTGAATCACAGAGCATGGATGAGTAAGATGAAATTCTAAAAGTCAGTGAAATTTCTTTT